GGAGGGGTAGGGAGGGTGGTATGGTGTGGTGTGGAGAATTGGGGTTGTTTTGTCATGTGTTGTGTATATAGCTAGAGTGAGGAGGTTTATGGATTTTGGGAACGGTTGTGTTTGGTTATGGATGTTCCGGTATACGTGGGTGGAGAGAGGGGGAGGAAGAGGGAGAAGGCTGGTGGGCTGTGGGTATCGGGGATGGATGGATTGTATTGATTATAATGGTTGACTGTGTAAGGGTAGAGAAGAGGGGGGGTTCTTTGGTGCTTTGTGTATTTTTGAAAATGTAAATCTGTCTGGACTACTTGAGTGAGAGTAAATTGTTATCTGGTTCGTGGGCTCTGTGCTTGAAATGATTGTGTAGGGGTATAGAAGGAGGGGGTTTTTCTTGGTGGTTTGTGATTCTGTCTAGATGAAATTGTTGTCTGGGTTTCTTGGGTTCTGGGGGGTTATGACTGCGGTTTTGGGGTGGGTGTGAGAGTGAGAGTGGAAGTGTGAGGGTGTGGGAGTGTGAAAGTGTGTGTGGGAATGAGTGTGTATAAGTGTAAGTGTAGGATGGAAGGAATGCTTAATAGGAGGCCGAACGATCATTTTACAGTTTTCTTTACTTCGCTTCTATGTCAGTGGAGGTAGAGGTAGGCTTTCTTTTTAATAGAACTAGTTTTTTGGATCTTAGATTGGAGTAGAGGTCTTGAAAGGGGGTTTTTTCTTTTCATTTTCTTTTTTCTGGTATTTTGGTGCTTTAGTTTTAATTTTCGAGGCGGTGAGGGAGAGAAGGTTGGGTAACTGGTTGGTACGGTAGTTAGATAGGCTGGATAGGCTGGATTGAGTAGGTGCTAAGTGGTGCTTATGGGTGTTTTGAAGGGGGGCTTTTTATGTTCTTGGAGGAGATTCTTGAGGTGGAATATGTGTGTGTATGTAAGGGAGGGAGAGGGAAATAACTAGGTTTTCCCAGACTTAGAATTTTATTCACAGTATAGTACTGTACTGTACATGAAAATGAAAATTTTACTGTCTTTAATGTTCTAGCTTCTTTCTGGGGGGTTGGAGTAACGGGGATTCTATAGTGAATTTGGAGATTGGGGGGATTTGGTTAAGGGATATTTTACTAGTGTATAATTCAATGTGAGTAATGAGTAGAGTAGAGTAGAGTAGTAGCACCTACACTACTCTACTCAAGTAAAACTTGAGTACTACTCGAGTTGTTGAGTAGTTCTTTCTTACACTGATTGAATTTTTTTTGGATGAGAAGGGGAGAGGGAGGGGGTGAGGATGGGTGTTTATGGTGAGTAGTTTTTGGTTTTGACATCTGGTGGATGGATGGATGGATGAAAGGTGACTGCTTTTATTGTTGGGTGTTGGTGGGTGGGTGATTAATAGGAGGTCCTAGTGTTAGTTAGTTGTGTTATGATAACTTTTAAAGCTTGTTAATGTTGGTAATCTTTTGTGTTTTTTGGATATTGTAAGATAAAGTCTTTGGTTAGAGGGGAGGGGTGTTTTTTCTCATGTTACTTTGGAATTTTGGATCTTTGTTGGGGTTTGTAAGTAGAATTGAATGGGATGGTTGCTGTTTATTTTATTTATGGCCCTTCTTCTTCTTTCTTCTTCTCTGCCTTCTAACGTTCGGCACTTGGAATACGATTCCAAGATTCCAAGATTCCATTGTAAGGTGGAATATTCTAAAGGCTTTTTGATTTGGAATACAATATTCTAAAGAATAAGGCTTAAGAATTTAGAATTCTAAACTTCTAAAGGATATATATATGTTACTTTAACTAATAAGAGAACTCTATTTGTTATAAAGTAAGAACTAGAATTATTATTATTACCTATACTTAAGCCTCCTCTTCTATTAATCTCTTTAAATATATACTTAGATATAATATATATATAGGGGTAATATTATAATATTATAATATTATTTATTTCCTTATTTTTTGTTTTCTATCTAATGTTCGGCGGAAACTAATACGTAAAGGCTAGCTCCTATAGGGATTCCCGTATAGAACAAAGGACGCTAGGGGGGAACCCTAGGCGATATTAGGGTTATAACTAGGGAGACTAATTATAAAGATAAGGTTAAAGGGAGACTCTACTTCTAGAGTAACTAGGATAATAGAGTAGAATAAAGAAAAGATAGTAGTAATAAGAAAAGAAGAAAAGAAAAGGTAAGTATTAGTCCTAGGGTGTTACGGAACGTACTACAGTTTACCCCTTTGTTGTTTAGCATGTGACTCTTGCTTAGCGATACTCCCTGTACATTCGATACGGACCCATATGAGTCACGCTAGCCTTGTCAGGAAGACGCTAGCCTCATTCAGGAAGGATCTATGGTACAGGAGAGCTCCTATATTAGAGTACTCCTTTCCCCCTTAGCTAGCTTCTTTTTATCCATCTACTTTTCACACAGCGTATTCTAATAGTCTCCTGTTTTGTCCTTAACAATAGGCTAGTAGATAAGCTATACTTGAAGGGGGTATATCTTATTAAAGAAGTTTATTTCTAGTAATAGTTTATTAAAAAAAGTCTTTGAAGTATAGGCTAAAGAGTATTCTTATATCTTACTTTAGACTTAGCTAAAGCGAAGGCTCTTTATTTTACTCAATAATAGCAAAGTAAATAAAAGGGTATCTTTTTCTTTTTATAAGAGTAGTCCTCTAAGGTAAGAAGGGTATTATAGTATTAGAATTAGATATAGTATATTGTAAAATCAAAGAAAGCTCTGTTCTTAAAAGAGAAGTTGTGTGTACGTAGAGTTTATAAAGTTGTGAAATAGGAGGGGGGACTAGGGGGGAGGGGGAGGGGGAAATCTTGTGACAACGTGCCACTGCCTGGCGGCGAAGATCAAGGTGCTATGCTGTTGCTTGGCCAGCCATCTCAGCTAGTCTTTTTGCCTGCGGCGGCAATTTGCAAGGTGGTTTAGGGATTAGATGTCAAAAATTCAATCCCCGAAAGATGCTGTTGCTTGTGATTACCGTAAGGTTGCGTATACTTCATTGTCATGGACAACCATAAGTAGATTTTGAGATTTCCTAATTCACAATTTATGTCAAGAATAAGAACAATATTGAGATTACGAATAGCAAGCTAGGACAAGGGACAGAAAGATTCGAAGTGATTGTTTGTATGACAGACTTTGAGAGATATTAAGTTATTCATGTCCTTTGTGCTATAAACATATACGCAATCTTTTTCGGGAGGCTAATTGCCACATCTATCAAAAAAGCGTTTAGTTGAAAATCCTCCTTGTACTCCACCTCTGCTGCAGCCAAAATCTCATCACGGTACAAGACAGCGAAATCTAGAGACCCTTTTCCCAGATTAATAAACAGCTCAAAATTACAATTCCGTGATTTCCGACCCGTGATTGGATCTCGATATGACTGCTCCTGCCAGAGTTTCGTGCATGGTACACTGTAATTTACATTGCACAATTCATGAACATCTAGAACCATGTTAGCGAGCGCGTCTAGTAACTCTTGAAATGGCAGCATTTGTTCATACTCATCGTCTTCCGAGAAGGTGGGTTGGCTTCTTCGCAGCAGTACAGTTTCGTTGAGAATTTTCTGTCACCTGAGTCCCAGAAGCCAACTTGAACACTGTGATAGATTTCCCGAGTAAGCTTTCGTCCCTCTTCCATATTATCGCCCTGACGCAAATTAATATTTCTCCTCACTGTTAAGATATAGCTTACGATTTCAAGGATCCACATCATTTGATTATTTGCTCTATAAACGCCTTCAGATTCGCAAAGGTAGCGATCTTCCGGGAGATGCTCAGATGGATCGAAAAGCCTTGAGACTACAAACTCGAAGCTGTATCTCGCAATTCTGGAGACGATTTTCGGAGGTCGACCAAGTGCACCACCAATTCCCTCTAGACCTGCCAGAGTTGCCCCTCGGCAGATGGACGACCACCTAGAGTTTGTAAGCACATATTAAGAACTCATCTTGAACTTCGAAATACTTACGCTCCCTGAACTCTCAAAATGTGCGTCCCATCTGACTTGTGACAGTTGATGACTCGATCATGGAGGTATCTGCTCTCACCAAATCCACCGACTAGCAAGATAGCCTTGTATAATTTCAGCACATGTCTGGGTGCAAGGAATGAAACAACAGAATCTACATACCTCGACACGTTTGTTTTGCTTCTTGATCTGGGTCACCTGGTTTTCTATCAATGCCTCGATTTGCAAGAATACATGATCGAAGATTCCTTGAAGTGCCGACCTATGTTGTCAATTATGGAGCGCGAGGTGTAGAATATTGCACTCACTTCTTGAGCACAATTGTATTGTCATCAATGTCGTTGTTAGGATCGTCTTCCACTCCAAACAAATCAATAGTATGTACTTCGTCACTCTTCTCATTGAAGATGCGCTTGATTGTCTGGTCAAATTCCATCATCATATTCCTCTTTGACTCTAAAGGCAACATGTCGTACTGTTCTTTACCAATAAGGATCTCAATGTAATTTTGGAAGCTGATATTCAGGTAGACAGATCCACAAAGTCCGCCTTCACCCTTGACTGTCTCTTTTATCTCAAGTGGGCGAAGCTTGTTGATCGTGTAGCTGATCAAGTCTACAGTTCCACCCCCTGCATCGCAAACCACAAATGTGTCACCAGCCTAATGAGTGGTCAGTAAATCGAGCCTGGTTCCAAGTTCTCGGGGGCTGGGATGTGAGGGAGAAACTTACTCCGAGCGACTCTTCATCTGCTTTGTCCCTGATAATAGACAGCGCCGCTGCTTCAGACTCAGTGATCATGGTGATGTTGTCAGGCAGTCCAGCCATCAAAGCGGATTTCTTGGTTTTGTCCTTTGCTGCATCACTCCACATCGCGGGTACCGTAATCACAACCTTTAGAGCATAATCACGCTTCCAATTATCCTCCTTGACCTCCTGCTTGATGTCTTCCATAGTGTAATCCCATAGAACTTTGAGGTAATCTGCGACTACCTCCTTGGGCGATTTGTTCAGTGACTTCAGTAATTTGCTAGCATCTCTAACTTCCTTCACTTCATCGTTGTACTTGTGGCTTGGCTCGAGGAAAATCTTGAACCATCTGAACGTTTCGTCTTTGTCTCGATTTGAATATCCCCATCGCTCCACCTGACCATTACAGTAGCTGATAGTTGAGGGTACCTTGTCGTTGGAAGTGTTCTTTGTTTTTGGATTTGGCCAGTTCGTGATGAGTCTGACATCTCGTCTACCAGGATATGCCCATGATACCCCGGAATAGCTGCAAATCTGGTTAACATTACAGTCCATATCTTTCTGGGATTTTGGTTTTAAGAAGGCCTACGTAGTCCCAAAGTCTATACCAATCACGATGTCTGAACTTTTCTTATTCATTTTGAAGGCTTTGATATTTTTGGCGATGGGTCAAAGACGGAAAGAGGGTGAGGCTCGAGAAATGAAAGATTTTAAAGAGGTGCTGTAAATTTGCAGTATCTTTTTATAGAAAAGGGGAGTGGCAATACTCTTAAACTCAGGAGACTGAATGTCCTGAGGGCTGACTGCTAGGTTCCAGCCTGGCACTCCCTTTCAACCACAATTTTGCCGATTCTATTTTGGCATGATCTGGATTCCGCCTCACGCTCAGCTAGAGTTCTTTTTCTTGGTACATCCTCGCTGCGCAGGTGTTCTCGATCCATCCACAACATCCAACTGCAACCTCAATATACCGGATATCACAGCTTCGAGAAAATGTGGCTTCATGAATGTGGATTGATCACAGGGCTCGGAAGAGTACGAAGAATATTGGTATAATGCTGTGAGATAGTGGCTGCATCGGCCAAGCCAAGGGTGTATTTTACTTTTTATTTACTTTATTTTTTGAGGCTCTAAGCGAATTTTCGGGGTCTGGGCTGCAGTCGTTCCAAGTGCTGTTCCACAAATTCACTGCCCCCTCTTCCTCGCTCCCTCATAACCATTCATTTTCATCTTGACTTAGAACCACTCGAACTCATCAAGGCAGAATTGTTCACTTCATATTTTAAATTGATTCGAGGAGACATTATTATATCAGTCAACATGGACGCAGTTAATTCAAAACCAAGTGATGCTAACATGATTTTGGTCATGGGCGTCACAGGTTCTGGGAAAAGCTTTTTGATCAACCAGCTTGCCGGCAAGAAAGTTGTAGTAGAAAGTGCTGAGCTCGAATCCTGTGAGTTTTTAAAAATATTTACACTTGAAAACTCAATATCCCCCTACCCTTGATATCACTTGATAGCGCGAAGTGAGAAGATTTCTGATCAAGTTCTAGGTACTGCCATGTGCCAAGCGATTCCCATTGAAATCGGTCGAACGAAGGTCCTCCTGATTGATACACCGGGCTTTGACGACAGCAAGCGAACCGATGTAGAAATCCTCATGGAAATATCGAAACTACTCACGGCGCAATACAAACTCGGTGTCAGCTTGAAGGGGATAATTTACCTCCATCGAATCACGGACAATAGATACCAAGGCTCGTCGGTCAGAACACTTGACATTTTCAAGGAAATCTGTGGCGAAAGGGCTCTCAAGAATGTTATCTTAGCTTCTACACGATGGGACAAAGTCGAAGAGCATGAGGGAGCAGCGAGAGAACCGCAGCTCCGAGAGAAGTTTTGGTCGTACATGCTTGACCATGGGTCAAAGATGACCCGATATCATGGCGATCGAGAATCCGCTCACGCAATGATCAGTCAACTCCTCGGAAGCGGCAACGTTATTCTGGATACTCAGCGGCAATTGGTGGACGAGGGGAAAACTCTGGACGAAACAAGTGCTGGAGCGTTCGTCAATGGCAATATTTCAGTGGCGATCAAAAAGTCCGACGCAGAAATCGAGATTCTTCAACGTCAACTTCGCGAAAGTAACAACGTAATGAAACAGAAGCTTGAGGAGGATAAAAAGAGGGAAGAAGTGATCGCCAGACAGGCGAGACGAGACCAGGTAAGTCTTCGTACAAATGTAGGGCAGGTTGTACAGGATGAGATGAACGTTGAAATGGGCCGAAGAAAGAAGAGAAGCAAGAGGATGGGCATCATTATGCCTCTGCTACCTGCGGCGCTTTCTATCCTGGAGATGTTTATTGGCGTACCCCTCAGTGCCAGTGACCTGTTTTCGTCATGGATTCTAGGCGAGGAGGGAGATGGTGGACTTTTCAACCAATTTTCTGAATTATTTTCTTAGGATCCTAGAATCAAAGCTCTACAACTCTTTCGCATGAGAGAGAAATTGAAGGGAATAAACCGATGATTATTTTGTTAGGGCAATAGATATGTTTTTGTTCCCCGTTATACCGTATACTGCTGTTTGAATTCCTTATGGGTCGTTAGGTGGCTCACGATGATGATATCGAGGCTTCTTCTTTGCCACAACTTCCCAAGGGCTGAAGTGTTCTCTGGTTGAAAAGAAGTTTGTGTCACTCAGCAAGTAGTGTAATCATAATTATATGCACATGTCCAATCATTGCCAATATTCACACCGCTGCCGTAAAAATTCTTGAAAGTGGCTAATCGCCTCCTTTCTCAATAGGGTTAGCTTGTTTAGTAGCATAGGTGTACAGTCCCTTCACTTGTAATTAGCAAGAAAGTTTTATGCGCATTTAGACCTTTTTGTGCAGTTTTGTGCAGTTTTGTAGTTTGTTTTTTTATTTGGCTTAACAGGGCACTTTTCAGCTTTATGCTTCAGCTATTTGGCCTTAGGGCTGGGGTCAGTCAAACTGCATCAAAGTGGCGTATAACCCTAGGGTTATATGTTAAGCTAAAAGTGCCACCATTTGCACAAAACCCTTGTTTCTGCCCAATTAAGTGAAGGGACTTACATTCAATATTCCAACAAAATCAATGAGTACTGGAAGCGTGACATATTGGGCACAAACCAGAACCGCAGACTGCTCCAGATCAAATCTATAAAGCCCAACGGGATGTTTAACTGACATTTGAGGCTCAAGCTCATGTATTTCTGATTTGGGAAGATCCACAAGTGCGGCTGAGACCAAATCAATCACAGCGTCTGCCCGCCTGCGGTGCTTCATTGCGGTGAAAGAGCCTCAAAAAAGGAGGCTAGTCATACGTGCCCAATTTCTGACCGGGCCAGGCTGCAGTTCAACTAATTTTCGCAACCATCTAATATCCAAGCCATCTTCTCCCAAACTCATTTTGATCTCGGGCAGACCACCGTTGAAGCCGGATTCCCTACAGATTCCCTACAGATTCAGAGACCAAATTGCTGCAAATCCAATTTACGTCCAATCTAGTATCGAATGTGGCAGCTAATGAATCCCGAGAGCGAGATGTGCAATCAGAAAGTAGTAAGAAAACTGGATTCGGTGCTCGAGGTCATGGAGCTCGAAGCGACCCGCCCAGACATGTCCCTCAAAGTCAAGAAAATAACAGTAAGGACTCAATCCTTCATGCCCAGGCACAGCTAAATACCTATGCAGACCGAAACAATGATCGTTCGGGAGGGCTTGCAGTGAACAAGCTAGCTTCATGGTTCCCTCCAGCACCTTTTTATCCTGTCAATCACTCCGCCCCCAAGCCTGAAGACAGAATGGAAAGATACCGTCGACAGAGAGATGAAGCCGAAACATTAGTTGAATCGATGAAATCTAAACTTACCAAATTGGAGCCAGAATTATCGGCTCAGCAAGAGGCTAACAAGGATGCACAACGACGATTTCGAGCACTCGAAGACAAAAAAGAACATCCGGTACCAAAAGCTGCTTCAGCCACAACACCTCGACTCTCGGTTCTCTACAAGTCTTAGTACTATTGAAGCTGAGATGTCAATTTCTCCTATTAACCAGCACTTAGACTTGACCGACCTTCTTCTTCAGACAAATCGAGAATCCCCCGAATTCGACGCTCAGAGAGAGCTTGCCAAGGCACCTGAAAATACTAAGTGGGAAATGAGCGATGGAAGGCTGCTTTTCGAAGGAAGGCTTGCTGTGGCAGAAAAGCTTCGAACCCGCCTTATTGCTGAAGCTCACTGTTCAATTTCTACGGCACATCCTGGACGAAACAAGACTATTCTTCTGCTCAAAAGACAATACTACTGGAACAAGATGGATACGGATATTGGCAGATTCGTACAAAATTGTCATACTTGCCGAAGATCCACTATTCCTCGAGACAAGAAGCCAGGACTTTTGAACCCGCTTCCAATTCCTGACCGGCCATGGCAGCACTTGTCAGTTGACTTC